AATGCTTTATAATATAGTATATATATATATATATATATATATATATATATATATATATATATATATATGTTCTAAAAAAATTATTTCTATATTTTTGGGATAAGAATAGAAGAAAAAGTTGGTGACAGTAAATTTTAGTTTCCTGGGTTCGAAGAAAAAGAAGAAAAGGAGAAGAAAGCTACGTGATTTTTATCTGATTAATTGTTGTTGTTTGAAGCCTCCATCTCTATGTGGTACAAGGTGAGTTTTTTACTTTAAAAGCATCATTTGATATGATTTTTTTATTAACCTGGATATCCAACCCGTTATTCGAGCCGACTAATCCCATGGCGACCACCTGCAAAGCAGATAGCCCGGAGTCACCGCATTTGAACCTCCGTCGCCACAAGGGGATCTCCTTGGATTTGCACATGGGACCTCCAGGTACTTTTTTGACCTTTGCAGCCAAGCTCAAACCAATCAGGTACCACCCCTGTGGTTTCATTTGATATGCTTTATTATGGAACTGTATGGTTTCAAATGGGTGTTTTCAGAAATGATTGTGTGCTATTTGATTAGCATAATTTTGGGTTTTGATATGTTATTATCAACTGATTGGAATAAGGGTGGCATAAAGAACTGTTGGTTAAATGGGACTTTGATCATATGAACAACTGTCATCGCATCTGTATGATGCGATAAGTTAAAGTAATCACATCAGTGTGATGCGACAAAATGGGGTTATCGCATCCTTGTGATGCGAGGAATGTGTTTATCGCATCCTTGTGATGCAACATTTGGGATTTATCGCATCTATCAGATGTGATAAAGTATGTTTATCGCATCTGTTCGATGAGACAAAAGGTGTTATCGCATCAATGAGATGCGACAAGTTTGGTAAATCATATGTTGGATGCGATGAAATGGGATTGTTTCATCTATATGATGCGACAATAGAGGTTTGGTACAATAAATGTTATTTACATGTTATCTTTGTAAAGATTGACTTTCCAAAAAAAGTATTTTGGTGATTTTCACCCTGTAATAGCTACAAAGCGATTACTCATTAGACCTTATAGTCTAACCCTCGTTTTATTTTCAAAAATGTGCATTACAAGACGGGCACATGTGGAAAGTAAAGGGAAGAGAAAGTTGTGAAAGGATTTGTTAATGCTTTACATTTGTGGATTTTTGGGAAGCTAAGTTATGCATGTATTTGAGACATTGTTATATTCAAAACATGTATTTTATGTGAGCAAAAAGATTGTAGCTACTTCTGTATGTAGCAATATGTGTATATAAGGCCCAGTATGTAATATTTGTATTCATGTTATATGAAATATGTGAAATTTATACAAATGTGGAATGGGGTATTACAAGAGTTTTTATCAAGACGATTAAAATGATACCAAAATAAAAGGCTTATGTAGTTTCTGATTTTTACTTTATGCTTTTTCTATATTATTTTTTAGTATTAATATTTAATAAATTACACAGATTGATCATAATACAAAAATTGTATAAAAATAATATTTTGAAGACAATAAAGTGAAAGTTTAAAAAGCATAAAATACAAATAAAATTAAAAGAATGAATAAATTGTAAAGAGGGAGGCATATTTGATGTTTTAGAAGAGAATTAGGTTTTATTTTGAGGTTATATTGATAAAATACAGGTATGTTCCGCCTTGTTCCATGGGGTGAGGGTGGAACACGTTTGTTTCACTCTGTTCCTGTCTGTTCCATATAAAAGTCCTACCAAACGTGGAACAGTGATCCGTGTTATGTTTTTACGTGTTCAGTGTACCAAACACACCCTAAAGGATCTCATGTTTGGAAGTTAGGAGCTGCAAAACTCATAAGTGAATCTTTAGATTCCAAACTGAAAAAATACAGTTAACTTAAAGCTTACCGGGCAATGCAACGGCATTTCCTGCACCTTCATTAACAATTACTATCTTCTTTGAATTTAAAGGCGACCCATCTTCTATATTTGGAAAGTTCGACTTCACGGAGTTGTGATCTGTAAAGGAAGCCTCGAGTAAGTCATCAAGGCATATAACACTCCCGGCTATTGAATCAGCATGTGCTGACAGCATTTCTTCCCTGTTGGCATATATAGATCGTGGAACATAAGTGACATTGCCATATAACATCGAAATCAAATTATAGCCGGTTAGAACTTGAGGTTGTTCTCCGCGTAAAAGCAAATGTGCCTTTAGTCCCCTCTCTGCACAAGAAACAGCTGGACAAACACACAAACGGAATATCAAGAACTGCCTTTAAGTGGCTCGTTGTAATTATAGGAAACTGTAAACAAATCCAAATATCAGAGCCGAAGAACATGTTTAAGAGCTTCAAGTGATATATGCAACATACCAACAGCTGCAGCATGTGCACTTTGGCAACCTCCACATGTGACCTATATAAAAATGGTGTAACTGGAACCTCAAGACATTATTCTTTATATGAGGTCTTCAATTTACAGACGTTACATAAAAACAACATAATTCCTTGTAAGTTATTATATGCCCACGACACGTGTTACACAGGAATACTGTGAACGAGTATGTAAACCTATAAGGTCACACACAAAGAACACGTTTGCTTCTATTTTCAGAAACCCGAATCAGATCATGTTGATTGTTAAAATAATTATTCTCGGAGAATAATTGTAAAATATGTGTTAAAATGTAGGTATTGATAATTACAGAATGTTATCTATAAATATATATAATTATATTAAAGTTTAAGATAATCTATATCTATACTATCTTATAAAGCAAATTTAACAGAAGTCTTAAAGTCTTAAAATACTAAATGACCAAGATACCCTTTATATCACTTTTTCACCCACTCCTCTCCTCACATACACTCACCCCCTCACATACACTCACCCTCTCACAACCGATTTTTTTAAACTTATAATTTTAAATTTACACTTTATACCCCTATAATTAGTTAATTAATTTACTTTACGTCATTTACTTTTAAATGTTTCACTTTAAACCTTTATCAAATTAATATACATAATCGTATATCAATTAAAACATGTTTAAAAAATACATTTTTATTTTAACAAGTTACACCATTATAATCGTCTCGTTATATATTAATATTACAGATAATTACATAACCTTATTTGAATTATAGTCTAACACTCTAACTATGATTCAGTGCATATAAATAAAGTGATAAACCTAAAACTTGAATGATTCAATATTTTAGGTTTTAGCTATCAGAGAAAAATAGAGAGGAACATTCTCTTTTTCTTCTGTTATAAACACATATGAGATCCAGGATTTTGGGCTAGCACCCAGTGGAGGCCAGAAACGTGGTCGTGTGTGGATTACCAATAGAGGAAACTTGACTTGGTTTCTAAACTCACATCAAATATCTGAAAGATAATATTATAAACACACTATGGATTGTTTAGAATTAATTAAATGCGTCTTGGATCCAGCTTAGGGTTGTTTTAGAAAAGCTTTCTAAATCAATGTTACCTAAATTATTTTCCTCTATATTTTCAAGGTTACAAAATCGTTTTAAAACCCTACGATCCTTGTATAAGGTTTTCATAACTCCATATGGGCAAGTGACAACCATTTGTCCAATCCCACAAGCCAACTCAATTGGCAAATATAGGCAAGGCCTTGGGCTCCTCCCATATGTCGCCAAAATGAGTCTAAGATCATCAGGGATTTTCCTGACTATTATCTTCAGGGGCTCATGGGATTAGTGGAGTTGCACGCAAGCTAGTCCGAACACAAACAATTACCAAAAAATCCGGATATCTTAATATATTGTTAAAGAATATTAAAGAAAACTCAAAACATCTAAAAAGTTGAGCACCGAAAAGGAAATGTTATCTCACCACATCGGTTCCTAAATGATCTTCAACAAGTGGAAGCAATGCATCCAGTTTCCTGGCCTTGTTACCGTTCACTAGTGGATGCAACAAATCATCACGAACAATATAAAATGATGACTGATCATTGTGCCATTCCTTTACGTTCTCACCCAAAGAAGGATGCGGATTATTAGAAAACGAAAAGTTCTCAAGTGGTCCACAATGCTGTTGTGTTTGCAGACTAGAAACCCTAATATGGTGAACTTTAGTGTCTGGATTTATCAATGTCCATCTCCGATCCAAAATCTTCGACATAAACTCTTCTTTGCTCGAATTGGATTTACAGATAACCTGGAAACAGACAGACTCCATGAACTTTCCAGATTTATAGAAAGCAATGTGTGCAAATTGTTCAAATGCAAACAAACAGAAGATAATGGAACTCGACAAAACCAAATCCAAACCCAATTACCAATCTAACTAGTGTTGGGAATTCAAACATTAATTTGAAAATTTCGAGCAAAAATGGCAACAGAATTTTCAATCATTGGGTGATAATCTTAGGTTTTCACTTCTTCATAACCATTTCGAGTCAAATTTAACAATTACACGCATAATTTCCATCGAATTAAGATTACTCTGAAGCAAACCGATCACATTGCGCGATACTTAACAAAAAGAGAAGTGAACACACACGAACCTGAGGATTAATTGAAGAGCAACCTGATTGAAACTGGTATCTGAATGACAGAATCGGAGGATTTCTTTGTAAAACAAACTTCATTACGTGCTTCGAGATTCCACTCTTGCCCTAGAGACGATGAGATTTTGCAGATATGGAGAACGATGAGTTCATGTGATACTTAAACATATGTGATAGATTGTGTCCTCGTAGTTTTTCATTATGCTTGTTTGGCCCTTCATTTATGAGTTATTGCTCTTTTATACCCATACTTTTATTTAATGCAGACTAATAACCATTTCTATAAATAAAAAAAACAAAAATCTTGTAACTATTAAAAATAGGTGCGTCAATTTTGTACCAAACCAATCAATATGTGTGACAAACGTACCAAATAAATTGGTATTAATCACAGTCGGTTGATAATACTGTATCAGGTATACAAACTTGGTTGGTATACAGTACTGAAAGTCGTATACCACGGTAGTATCATGATACCGACTTATTTAAATTTTTATTAGTCTTTTGTATTTTCATGTATTGAATATTAAATATTATAACTTTATTTAAACGAAGTAAATTATTTTTATTTTAATAATATAACATTTTTATAAACATAAATTTAATTCAATTTCTACT